TACTGTGATAAAACAACTTCAGAGTCTAAAACCCATTTTAAAAAAAATTCCCTGGGTTGTGGGGCAGAAGGAGGGCTGTGGCATCAAGTTCTTGGCAACGTCCTGTTTCGTTGTTCCTCGGATCCAGCCGCCTTTCGGGGGATGAACTTTCCTTTTGACCGGCTTCTTTGGTTTCCTGACACCCCTGCTGTCAGGGTCGAGGGGAACCTTGGGCAAGAACCGGAGAAGAAAATTGTCGGGGGTGCCAGGAAAAACAGGAAATAAAAATGATTAGGGAATGGGTTAAAAGGGATGTCCCATTGCTAACTAGCAGGAAATAAATGGAAAGACAAGCCTCCCCGGTTTCTGTTGTATTGCATTTCTCTCTTTCTCTCCCCACGAAGTTTGTGATTAGGAAACAGCATTTTTGCTCAACAGCCTAACCGCAAGGATCGCTCCTAGCTGAAGTGTGAGCTCAGCTTTCCCCCGGGAGGGGGGGGGTAATGGCTGCTTAATCTCCAGCAATCCGAGGGTATTTCAGAAACTGCAATTCAGTTCTTCCTAGTTTCTGTTCTATACTACAACTCCCACAATCCACAGGCAGCATGGTCACTCGGCTAGGCTAGAGAGACCGGGAGGCTCCAAAATGAGTGGGAGCAAATGATGCAGAAGAATGAAGTAAGAGTTTGCCACAGGTGATGTGCCAATGGGCTTAGAAGTGGCAGTTGACTTTTTGTAAAAAAACAGCATGTTTAGTCCAAAACACCTTCCCTTTATATCTATATAAATAAAACAAACAACCTTCTCTTTTTTAAAAATGATATCTCTTCGCAGGTCTGGAAGGAGAATTTCTGCAGCAGGACCACCACGGCCACTTTTAAAACCAGGAGAGCAAAGCGCGTCCCAAAGCAGTTCCGGGGACCCACTCCGAAGGGCAGGAAAGTGTACGGGTCAAGGGTTTCCTTGTTCTCTTTACTAGACCTGTGTGCAAATCTAGAAATAGAAAAACTAGGAGGGGAAAAGCGAGCCCTGGGAAAGAGGAACCACTGGGCTCTTTGGATCCTTCATCTCTGGACAAGAAAGGTGAGCCAAGATGGTTATCTGAGAATTATTACCTGCAGAAGGAACCCATTTTGGTCCCACGAGTGATCTAAGGGCAGACGCAAAGGGCAAGTTCTTCAGAGAAAGAAATGCTGCTATGATTCTGGCTGTAGGACACCACAAGCACCACATTGATTACCAAATGTATCTGTCCTTTCTACAAAGATAAGCTACATAAATCTGTTATTGATTCCCATGGCAGGAGGCTCCTTGAGTCCAGCTATTATTGATCCATTTCAAAGTTGCACCAGATGGGATGGAACAAACAGGAAAATTCCTCTCTTAGACTGACCCCCTCCCATCCGTTTTGCCAACCGCTTGGACCCATCCCAGAACAAGGACTAGAATTCGAAATCTACATCCTTCCGGGAGAAACCGAACCCGTCTTTCCTGCATGGAAAGGTACAGCCACATGATGCCACACTTGTTTTGCTAGTTTGTTCTGTTTTGCTGCTTTGTTCCTGAAGACAAGCAGAGGGAGCGACATGGATCAGAGTGACGCCAGACCTCTGCCTGCCTGAGAAGCATGAAGCCATTGGCAGAAGTATCTGGACAACTTTGGAGAACTCCCAGTGGAAAGAGAGAACTCCTGGGTCCGATCAAATTCTCAGCCAGGGCAATTAATGCTAACCATAAAAGGTAGAAACAGAAGGAGAATGGTCTGGTGCCTTGAAATAGCAGTGTTGAACAGAGTGAGAAAAGCCACCAACGTATCACATTGAACTTTCCTGGCTCACAAGTTTTAAGAAGCCTCGTTCAGCGTTCCAAAAGCCTTACTGTTTTATGTACTTGCATCCTCTCTTGCGGTTCCCTGTCCTTGCAAGCAATCTGGATATAAGGGAAGACATTTCTTTACGTCCCACCACCCTCACAGGTGTGCTTGGTGAAGACACAATAAAAGATCATCCCTGTTGCTATTCCCAGACTCTGGAACTCCCTCCCACTGGAGGCCAGGTGGTCTCATATTTGCTGTCCTTCCACAATCAGGTGATGACTGTTCTCTTCAGACAGGCTTCTCCTTAGTGACTGACTGTGTAGGAAATAATGAATAAGATGTATTCACGAAGGCTTTCACGGACGGGATCTAATGGTTGTTGTGGGTTTTTCGGGCTCTTTGGCCGTGTTCTGAAGGTTGTTCTTCCTAACGTTTCGCCAGTCTCTGTGGCTGGCATCTTCTGTGCTCAATGAATGAGATGGTTTATATTTCATTGCTCCTAAATCTGTTTTTAGAAATGCTTTTACCTAACATTTTAAACACAATGCTATTAATTTCTTCTTCACATTTACGTTGCTGTTTTTACCTTTCAATATTGTGTTTTTTGTTACATTAGCAGTCTCATTCTTTTTTTTAAAAAAAGAGACAATTAAGGTAATAAATAATCAAAATTAAAACCAAACACGCCCTCTGTGTAGGATAAATTGTAATATTTTTTTTAAAAAAAGTATTCTAAGTCTTTTTTGTCCCACTTTACATTTCCTTCACCAAATACATAAAACTAAGTAAACAAAGGTTGCAATCTTATACAATCTACAGTAATCTGTATGTAAGTGCTGTTAAATTCAATAGATTTACATCTGAATAGAGACATATATACTTAAAGAAGGAAGATAGCATTTTAGTGATATTCTTCAGATTAAAAATTACAACAGCCTCTCTTCCGTTCAAATGCTTCAAGTCACTAGTCCTGAGTGATGTGAAAGAGAGAATTCATGAACATGGTGTCCCATTGTAAGTGCTCAGTCCTGCTGTTGACTTAATCAACTGTCTCCATGGGATGTAGGGCACAGGGAGAGTTGTCCTATTGGCCTCTTTGCGGTTTCCCATTTTTCTGTTCCTCAGATCCAGTAACCATTCTGGGCACGAACTTCAGTTTGATCGGCTTCTTTGGTATCAGGAAGACCTGGCTGATAAATTCCAAAGGTATCTTTGTCCGAAGCAAGAGAGAGAAAAATATATGGTGCGGAGGGAGAAACAGAAAAGAAAAAATGATTAGAGAGTGGTTTAAAAGGGAGATTCAACAGATAATTGACAGGAAACTCGAAAGATATGCCTCCGTTATTTCTATGGTATGGAATTTTCCCTCTTACTTTCCCCACAATCTTTAAGATGGATCTAAAAGTCACGAGGAAATATCCAAGCACTTTCCTTGGTAACTCAATGGCGAGGCTCACTCTGAGCTGAACTGTGAACTCAGTCATTCAGGGGTTCTTGACCGCTTAAGCTGTTTAACTGGGTGTTTCGGAAATGGCAACTCTGTTCTTAGTAGTTACTGTTTAGTACTAAAACTCCCACAATCCACAGGCAGTTTGGTCACTGGCTGGAGGTGCAATGCACCATTCCCACAAACATTTTCCTTTTCTTACCAGAAAGCAAAATGACCGGGCTAAAGGTTGCAGGAGGTGATGTTCATATTATTAAATAGTCAGAGGCAATAAGGCTATTGTAAATCTTTGCATTTTCCTTCTTACTACGTTTTCCTGCTTGCTATGATGAGCAAGACTTAACTTTTGCTCCACCATGATTGGAAGCAAATCATGCAGAAGAATGAAGTAGAATTTAGGATGGTGATATGTATATAGGGTTGGACCCGGCCATTTGTTCTTAGTAAACAATTACATGTCAGCAGTTCAGTCGAAGGGCATTTGCCCTTTACGGGTGGTATTTAGATAAAACAAACAGTAACAAACTCAGTTTACCGGCGTCTCTTCGCAGGTCCGGAAGGAGAATTTCTGCAGGAGGATCACCGTGGCCACTTTTAAAGCCTGGAGAGCAAAGCGCATCCCAATGCAGATTCTGGGACCTGCTCCGAAGGGCAGGAAGATGTACGGGTCTATGTTTTCCTTGTTCTCTTTACTGAACCTGTGTGCAAATCCAAAGAGAGAGAGAGAAAATAGCTAGGAAGGGAAAAACAAGTCCTGGGAATAGGGAGCAACGTAACCCTTTGATCCTTTACCGCTGGAAGAAACAGGTGAGCCAAACTGGCTATCTGAGAATTCTTACCTGGGGAAGGAAGTCATCTGGGTCTCTTGATTAATCCTTTGAGTCCTTCAATTGCTTATGAATGGCCGAGTTGCATGGGATGGACAGAAAAAAACGCAAGTGTTTTCTGGACCTCATTAAAGGCTGAAGCAACCAGCATTCTTTGTCCTACAGGGCCAATCGCAGCTTTAGGAATGCTGGTCCAGGGCATGGCGGAATCCCCCACCACATAACTGTATCTTCATCATCGTCTTAGAACTGCAGAACTGGAAGGGACCCGATGGATCTTGTGCTTAGGGCCAGCATCCAATTGCTTGTTCAAAAAAAAAGAGTAGAGCCACTGACTAAATTTTTGTACAGTAACTCAACAGTCCTATAGGTCCCAATGATTCAATGGCCAACTTGATTGATTGATTGATTGATTGATTGATTGATTGATTGATTGATTGATTGATTGACTGACTGACTGACTGACTGACTTGATTTGATTTGATTTGATTTGATTTCTATCCTGCCCATCTAGACCAAAATTCTACTCTGGGCAGTTAGTTTGCTTCTGGGAGTGGAAATTTCCAATTTCGGAGGACATATGCAGGGTTTCTTGCAACCTACCTCTCAGGTCTGAATTCTTCCGGCTCTGACCAATATTCCGGGAGACGGTGCAGGACAAAAACTGGGATCATGAGCACAGTTCCTTTGGGGATGGTCATGCCATTGATCTCCACAGTGTTTTTGCAAACCCTGTCAATTCTTCCTGCTGGGGGAAACAGCCTGAGGTTTTCATTTATCACCATGTCAAGATATTCCATCTGAGTGATTGCATCATAGGTGGGAGGAGCCTGTGAAGGACAGAAAGTACTGTTAGTTGGTGGCATTCTAGAAATACTAAATGACCAGAAACAGGAAGCATTGGACATCTATCCATTGCAAAGTTACCCTTTAAAATTCTACTGCAAATAATGTTGCATATAATGCAGATCACCTAAGCTATTATCTATCATGTGACACATGATAATGATAATTGAGGTCTTTACCTGGTTGGGAAGTATCTTGTCAATTTCATCCTGCAGCTTCTGCTGAACATCCGGGTGGGTGGCCAAGGAGTAAGACAGAAAGTTAAGGGCATTGCTGATGGTCTCAAAACTACCAAAAATAAAGGTTACGGCCTGCATCGATATCTCCTTGTCAGTCAGAGCTGAAAATAAATGAGGAGAGGGAGGGGAGGAATACAAAGGTAAATCAGTGCTACATGGAATCAGGCAATAACAATAATAGGGGCAGTTATTCTCTGAAAAAGTAACATTTGCAAACCCTGCGCAGTGAATGGAGAGCCCTTTCCACACATCCTATTTTTGTCCTCTTCAATTTTGTGATTAAGTTAAGAGTGTGATATTATCAGTTGCCTTGTGTTGTGGCCAAGCAACTAGATGGGCAGGCTGATAATAGGGGCAGTTATTCTCTGAAAAAGTTCCATTTCCAAACCCTGTGCAGTGAACGGAGAGCCCTTTCCATGCACCCTATTTTTGTCCTCTTCAATTTTATGTGTGAATCATAATTACGTTAAGAGTGTGATATTCTCAGCTGCCTCGTGTTGTGGCCAAGCCACTAGATGGGCAAGTTGAATACTTAAATAAATATATAAATAAATAGCCTTTCCTTCCATTTCCTGCTGTTTAGATTTCTGGAAAGGATTTCACCCTCCTTTATGGTCCCTAAAAGGGCACGTTTTGCCCATCTTCCTTCCAAGGTGTGGAGAAGGAACGGATGGAGAGAGAGTCGGCGGAGGGATAGTAACTTGTTCTAGGCTTTCAGATATCACCACCTCCATCGACTTCATCATTTAGAAGGGGAAAGGGGAGAAGTGAGGGGTTAAAGCTGAGGAGCAGGACGTTGTTGGAGACTCAGATGATTAACTAGCCCAATTGGAGCCCAGAAAATACGGAAACAGTGGTGAAGAGCACATTAGCTGATCCTGAGATCAATGAGCTGTCAAGAAATTACCTTTGCTTCCTCGCCGCTCTCCTTCCTTTGTGCCTCCTTGCTTCTTTTTATTAAAAATTCTTTTGCCCCCATTTGATAACAATTCTCAAGGCAGTCCAAATCAAATGAGAGCTTCCCAATTGAAATGGTCAACATTAAACCCTTCAATGTTGTCTTCAGTGTATCCTTGAATCATTTCTCTTGCCCAGGATGCAGTTGAACACCTGGAACAAGTTCTCCATAGAAAATGAAGAAGCTTGCCCAACATCCTGATGACAGGGCCAGCCCACTGAAGTAGTTGTCGTTAGAAGATGGCAAGACTGCTTGTCATCTGATTTTCCTCCAAGACTTTAGGGGTCAGGGATTTTATCCTTACATTTCATGCTTAGAAGTTATCCAAGACAGGAAAGATGGAAATGACAAAGCTTTGGCATTGAACAACAGTCCAGATTTGGGCTCCATCATACAGAACAACAGCTTTGTACATGCTCTGACTAACAGAAAGACTGATTCTACAGAGAACTGCAGTCTTCCAAAGATGGTGTTGGCTTTAGAGATTCTTGAGGTCACTTCATTGTTACTGAGAACACAGTAGGAGATGGTCCTGCCAAGAGATGTGAACTAACCCTTTGCAGTAAGGGGCTGTTGGTATACCTTTGGACTGTCTTCTTAGCATCGATCTTCAAGCCAAAATAGTTACAGGTGGAAGGGAACAGATCAAGACTTCTATGCATATCCAGAAGTGTGGTCGCATTAAGAGCTCAGTGCTCAGCAGATGAAAGCTCACACACAGTGCAAAATGAGATTTAAAATTATGACCCAAAATTGAACAACTTTCCATTGTTGCAATATAGGAGGCCAACACCAGCTTATCTCATCATTCCAGATATATGGGTGGAAGGGACGACAGTTCCAACACATATCACTCATAACCACACACCTCCTGTGGATAAGCCTATGGTCCTTTAATTTTATAGCATTCACTAAGTTTTGCCGTAAACCTGCCTATCCTAGCAATATCCCCCAGGAGCCCCTGTTTCAAATGGAAATTTGTGGTCAAATTCTGCTGGACCCCCCAATGCTTCCTCCAAAACCAGCTGTCTACCCTTCTTCTACAACTCCATACGAAATTGAAAGGCTTGTTTCAGAAGGCTCTGAAGTCCCCCGGAGCATTGTTATGGTGTTACAGAGTGGTGTGGTGAATTCCACTACCATCTGATACAGAGCTCTACCATTGTGGCTTTATCTATTTACCTTTATATGAATTTGTGCCATCAGAGACGTCTCCTGAATTTTGGGCCTCCAACATTAGCTGTAGAAAGTCAACGCGCTCCTGCAAAGGAACAGAGAGGGCTCGTGGTTAGCAGAAGAGGCAAAAACATGCCTCGCTGTTCCTGCAGACCAAAGCGGTATTTACGAATCAAGAAGCTGCTCAGTATGATTTAGTGCAGATGGTCTTGGGACTGAATATTTATTTCCTTTTAAAAAAAGAAGGAGTCACACATTATCTTAACTATGAATCATTAGAACACCACACAACGGTTTGAACTGACCGTATGCTTATTCTTTCCCCGGTCGTTCTTGATTTTTTTCACCACCGCCGTGAAGAAATCCAAGACAGACGAAGGTATCAGGGTGATGTTTAGTTTCTCCAGTAATGGTGTAAGGAATGGAAATACAACTGAAGAGAAGAACAAAGTGGCCTTTGAGGGAGAAAAGTTCACCAAGAAGTCCCACTCTTTCTAAGGGGAATATAAGAGACCTGTCACATCCCATCACCTCTTGGCAGGAGACACTGGAACATGGGATTTAGGGTGATGTCTTACTTTCTGGGGTTTCCCTCCATACTGGGTGAAAAGTGGGAGGGGAAAGGAAGGAGGGACCCCAGTGTTCAGCCCTGGAGGTTTGTGAGGGCATACAGTGGTCAAGAAGTTATGGGCAAGAGCTGTAGAAACAGAGAGACAGTCCATAAAGGAAACCTCACCAACGTCCAACCCACTGCTTATTTTTAACAGAGAAAAGGGTCAAAAAGCTTTACCACATGGGGGGGGGGCCTCATACCAGCCAGGAGAAGCAGTGGATTTTCAAAAGTGACCGTGGCCAGCTTCTTGAGGTTCTTGATGAAAGGATCGTTGGAATGGTTTATGGAGTCTATGTCAATGCTGAAGGAAACGCTGGTCATCGCATCCAAACTGTAGACTGCAAAAAGGCTAGAGGGAAGAAAATACAAAGACATTTCATGGGTTGACACTGTATGCACGTGTTTTTTTTTTCAAGGAACAGACTCCCATAGTAACAAGCACACTTTTTCAGAGACATTTGCTCATCTGCAGGTTAAGCAGAATCGTGCAAAACATTAGCCAAGATGGAACATGTGATCTTTTAATCGATATCTCCCACCAGCCCCATCCAGAATACACAAAGCTAAAGGAATGTGGGAATGTTTCAATCCTGCATCCCCCACCGGTGGTCTGAGAGCCACACTCGAGAAATGTGCATGCCACAGGCTTTCACGAAAAGTATAGCTCCATGTGGACATCTAACAGAGAGACACAAAATGGCAGCATGTCTTCCTCTGAGATCCTTTGTGAACTTCTTTGATCCTGGCCTACAGTAACTGGGCTGCGGCAGCCCCACAAGGTTACTCACGCTTTCATGTCTATGGGCTCATTGTTCTCCACTTCCTTCTGGATGTTCTTCACCAATATCTCCCCATAATGGTTGATTATGGGCAGCATCTGGAACACAGATCAAAGCCTGAGCTGCTATTGATAAGAGTTCTCAACAAGCCGCTTGCAATGATTTTGCAATTAGTTGTCCTATAATCCAACTTTCAGAAACATAGCAGGACTGAGAGAAGGGCCTCCCCCAAAGATCTGGAGCATTTCATGAGATGTGCTCGATGCTGTTATACCCTTTCGCAGAGGAATGAAAGCCAACGGAAGCTTTCTTTCTAGGATGACAATCCTGAAATATTTGTAGGACAACAATTTCAAACTCAAGACGGATTTGCTTTGTTAGGAGTTCAGCTGCTTTAGCACTGGGGAAAAGATATCAAACACACCTAGCAAAATATTCCTTAGGCAGAGTGTTGGCTTTCACAACTTACTTCCTTTAATCTCCCACTGGTGAAGGTGGGAGAGAGGACGGTGCGAATCCTCTTCCACTTATCATCTGGGGCCAAGAATACAGATGCTTCTAAGTCTCCAGTCAAACCATTGTTCTTAGTAATACGAGACATAAAAGAAAATAATAATGAGCATTGAGTTGTTGCTGGAATTTGTATCCTGTCTTTTACATTAGGTAAAGGTAAAGGTTCCCCTTGACAATTTTTGTCCAGTCGTGTCCGACTCTAGGGGGCGGCGCTCATCCCGCTCTTCAAGCTATAGAGCCAGCGTTTGTCCGAAGACAATCTTTCCGTGGTCACATGGCCAGTGTGATTTAGACACGGAACGCTGTCTAAACGCTTTTACATTACCATTTAGGTATCTGACTGCAGAGTAGAGGTTGGGGGTTCGGTTCCCCATTGTGTGTTCTTGACAGGGGCTGGGCTTAATGATCCAGAAGCTCCCTTCCAGCTCCCCAGTTATAAGATGAAGATCTCAATGAACCTTCAGGTCTCTCTCTCTTTCTGTATATGAGTTTGTGCCATCAAGTCAGATCTGACTTATAACGACCCTAATAAACCTTAGGGCAGATTATGAAGAGATAGAATGGTTTCCTATATGCAAATATGTCAGTCAAAGGTGCATTGTATTCCCTTATCTGTTCCGTCTGTATGCAGATCATATATGGAAAGCCAGTCTGGATTCAGATGAAGGAGAACTGAAAACTGCTGGAAGAAACATCAGTAACTTAAGCCATGCAGATGACACCGTCTTACAGGCAGAAAGCAGCAAGGACTTGGAAAAAACTTTTAGTGAAAGTCAAAGAAGGAAGTGCCAAAGCAGGATTGTAGCTGTATGCTAACACAACAAAAAATCATGACTACAGAAGAACTACACAATTTTTAGATTAGACATTGAAATAGGTAGAGATTTTGCAGACCTTGGTTCAATCATCAATACAAATGGAGAGTGCAGCCAATAAATCAGAAGAAGACATGGACTAGGAAGGGCAGCAAGGAAAGAGCCAGAAAAGATCAATCAAGCATTAAGGATGTGTCACTGGAGAGACCAAGATCATCCACCCTCTTGTATCGCTGATCACCGTTGTGTGGGTGTGAAAGCTGGACGGTTAAGAAAGCGATTAAGAAAAACATTGATTCATTTGAAATGTGGTGCTGGAGCAGAGCTTTCCAGATACCCTGGATTGCTAGAAAGATGAACAAGTGGATCCTAGATGAAATCAATCCTGAACTATCCCCGGAGGCAAAAATATTGAAATCGAAGCTGTCCTACTTTGGGCACATCCTGATAAGGCAGAATGCTGGGAAAGGTGGAAGGCAGCAGGAGAAGAGGAAGACCCAATACAAGATGGGCTGACTCCTTAAGGGAATCCACAGGGTTGAGTTTGTAAGAGCTAACCAGAGCTGTAGAGGACAGGACATTTTGAAGTGTTCTCATTCGTAGCATCGCCATGAGTCAGAGATGACTTGACAGCAGACAACAGCAACAACAATAGACCTTTCAGGCTAAATGAGGTATTCAAAAAGTGGCTTTACAAGTTTCTCACCCTCAGTGAGTTCTGAACAGGGATTTCTTCTCCATAGTCCTAATCTGTCACTCTGTCCACTGTACCAAACTGGGTACCCATTAATATCTAAATACGTACCTAAGTGTAAGCTTATCAGAGAGAAAAAATCAGTGCATACTTACCCGGCGGTTGGTAAAATTGGTGTAGAATTCTTTGACTAAGATTGTTTTGATGGTGACAGGGTCCAGAATCGCCAGCAGTGGCTGTCGGCCATCAAAAATCCTAGTTCGAATACATAAGCGAAACTAGTTTCATTTATTTATTTACTCCGTTTCTTTGCCAAGTTTTTACTTAGCAACGGGACTCAAGGCAGCCCACAAATCATGAAAAAAAAGAGAGACCAAACACTGATATTAAAAAAAAGCAATTAAAAATTAAAATAAATTCCTCTTTTCCTTTCAGTGTCTTGGCCACACTCCTTAGTAGCAATCTATTTCCAGATCACCCACAGACTATATTCAAGTAGCAGAGGTAGGTGAGAGACTGGATCTCCAAACTCAGTCTAATGTACATTTGCATGTCTGTTGTAGACACAAATCAAGGAGACTGATGGCTAAAAACCACATTTTAACCATCTCTCCTGGCGGGGAAAAGGGTTCATTCTGTTGGATACTTACCCCCAGATCTTGCCATACTTCTGATGACACTTCACATCAAAATGGATAACCCCCTGCCAGAATTAATAATAATAAAAAGATGTCAGAGAAGCACAGAACAAGAAAAGAGAAAACGATCTAAGCCAGCCCTTGAACTGACCACAGAGGGGACACTGAAAGCGTCTCAGAGGAAGGCAGGGTTTTCCTGCACCCAAATACTTACGTGTCGGTATTCAAGGAACGTCCCGACAAAGGGCAGAGGCCGGGGCCCAGGGATCCCCAGCTTCTTAAAGAAATTGTAGGGCCAGATTCCGTAGCTGAAAAGAGAAGGAGAGAAATCATTCAGCCGGCCTCTTCTCCTGGCAAGGCTGGTCCCGGCCTCTGTGGATAAATGCCGGGCACTTTCCCTGACCTCCCCATGATGGGCATGTCTTCTGAGTTCATCTTCCCAATGTGCTGTGTACAGAAAGGGCACATTGTCCCAAGCAAATCTACACCATCTATGGTCATTTCTGGTTCCAGTACTCTGCATCTCTTGAATATCTGTAAATATCTGTATTTACAGATATTCTGTATTACTTGAATATCTATAGAATAACAAGCTCTATTTGCTAGTTTTTTTCCTGTAACTTAGGGGGCGTAGAGGATTTCTGGGTCATTGTCCCAAGCAAATCTACACCATCTATAGGCAATTCTGGTTCCCGTAATCTGCATCTCTTGAATATCTGTCTTCCAACAGGCTCTATTTTGCGAGTTTTTTTTCTGTAACTTAGGGGGCATAGAGGATTTCTGAGCAATGCTCAGGGTGTTTCCAGAGGTGTGCTTGTCTGATAAGCATGAAGAAGAGAGAAGGACACCAAAAACGTTGGAGAGCTCCCCATGTCAGAAGACGAAGCTTGGCTCCCATCATGTTCTCAGCCAGGGCAACGAATAAGAGTAAGGAAACTGAGAAAGAGCAGGAAAATGGTTCTGATCCATTGAGTTAGCCAATAACCTTTCACACTGAACTTTCACCACAAGGTCTCCAATTAAAACAACACCTTTTCCAGTCTGACTGACTCCAGGCAGATCCATTCAGGCATTCGTAAATCCACTTTTCCCCTGAGAGCTCCCCCCCGAGTCCACCCCAAAGAAGCTGGTTCACTCTTTCCAGGGAACTCTTCAGGCAGATCCATTCAGGCATTCATAAATCTACCTTTCCCCAGAGAGCTCCCCCCCACCCCCCTCCCAAAGAAGCTCCATCGCTCTTTCCAGGGAACTCTAATGGCTCCCTCTCTCTCCCGGCACTTACAGCAGAAGGAGGACCAAGAGAACGACGATGAGTGCCCAGGTTTCTGGAGAGAAGCAGGGATGAAAGTTCATTCTGAGGACCACGCAATGAAATGCCTTCCTTTCCTTCTACGCCCGTCACCCTCCTGTGCTGGTTTCCAAGCTGATGAGCAGAAGATGCTCCTGTTCTTTTTCGCCACTTTACAAGCTGATGAGCAGAAGATGCTCCTGTTCCCTTCGGCCACTTGCACTTTTAATTTGAAAGCTCTTCCTTGGCAAGTCACATGAAAGAGCTGATGGACTAGCCCCCCCTTCGCATGGCCAATTTATAGGTGTTTGCCTGCTCCTCCTGACTCAACCTTGTCTCCAGCAGGCCGGTGATAACCAGAACCTCTTGGAAGGCAGCTGTTTGGTAGTCAACCTTGTCAAGGGCATGTTGGAACAGGCTGAAATCTGGTCACTCAGAACCTCTTCTGTGGGTTCCATTGATTCAATTAGTCCTACTCTAACTAAGCAACAGGATTTCAGCCACTCAACACTCAGCAGAGGTTTCCCATTCTGTTTCTGCTGGAGTTGCTCTGGAACCATGTTATATGTCCAAAGCCACACAAATGGGCTCACCTCTTACAAGGCCCATAGTGGAATTGATCTCCTGCTCCCTGGCTCCACAACCAAGTACTCCAACTCATTGAGCTTACGCAAGCATGGCTGAATGGAAATCTGATCTTGGTTCTCTTCAGTTGTTGTCCAATCTAATTTCGTACTACCCGTGGTTTTAGTTGTCATTAGTGTCCTACATCGGATTCCAAAAGATCTCCTGTATGGAGAATTAGTGCAGGGACATAGGAGGAGAGGGAGACTACAGCTGTGATCCAAGGAGATCTGCAAGCGGGATCTGAAGGCCTTAGGAATGGCCTTAACAAATGGGAAACCCTTACATCTAAGCATTCAAGCTGGAGGCAGGTGGTGCATCATGGCCTCTCCCAATTTGAAGAGACCCATGTCCAGCAGGCCAAGGCAAAGAGGAAGTCACAAAAGCAGCAAAACCAGGAAGCTGGACAGGGGACAGATTGGATTTGTCTTCAGTGTGGAAGAGATTGTCACTCTCGAATTGGCCTCCTCGGCCACACTAGACGCTGTTCCAAGTCCTCCATACAGAGCAC